TTCAAGGAAAGGAGCATTACCAGTCTTGAGTCAAGTCATATCATGGATTAACTTAGACTTTGGGTTTGAGATATGCTTTTACAATGGTATGGACAGCTATGCTAAACAATGGCTTCAGTTTGCTTTTCCTTTCTATTTATGGATCATCATTATCGTTATAATACAATTGTGTAGGAAATATGGTAAGATATCAAGACTGATGGGGTCTCATGCTGTTCCTGTTCTATCGACACTTACTTTTCTCTCATATACTAAACTAGTACGTACTATTGTTATTGTACTACACAAGCGTGAGGTAACTCTTCACTGTACAAATGAGTCAGTAAAATCAGTTAGTTTATGGTATGAGGATCCTAATGTTGAATATGCTAAAGGGAAGCATGCTGGACTATTTGGATTTGCTCTATTAGTGTCTGTTTTCTTTGTCATGCCATACACACTGTTCCTTTTATGTCATCCAGTACTCGAGAAGTATTTGTCACATTTTAAACTGTTTAAGAGCTGGAGTCGTTTCAAGCCTATCATTGATGCTTATAGTGGTCCAATGAAAGATGATTATCGGTTCTGGCCTGGTCTACTGCTAATGGCTAGAATACCAATGCTAATAACTGTGACCTTTTTGAAGAATGAATCACGTGTCTTGCTTTTGGCAGTAGCAGCTTTTATTCTCTCCCTTAGTTTTATCTTTGGTGGCGTGTACAGCAAAAAATTAAACAATATCATAGAATTTTGGTTTCTATTAAACTTGTCCATAATAGCTTCCTTATCTATAGCCTTCACTGATGATAGCCAAGTGTTGATATGGTATAATACTTGTTTATCTGTTTTTATTGCTAGTTGTATTTTGATTGTTGTTTATCATGTTTACCTGCAGTTATCTCATATGAAATGTTATGATGCTCTAATTAAGAAATTTTTCAAGAAACAAGGTGAAGATGATGATCCTCTTTTAGATGTAACTGAATCACATCTAACTGTTGATCAACAAAGGAGAGAAATTGTACCAAGTTCAACTGATTACATCAGACGACGAGAATCAGTCATTGATTTGTATTAGTCAAAATCAATTTTTTCTGATTTTAAACTATAACTATAAATTATTTGCAATATTTACTTTTATCAAGAAACACTACATTAAACATTACGTAACATATACAAACTTGTCTAGCTAAAACAACACTACATGATCTACAATAGTTATTACTAAAATAATAATTAAGGCAGCCTATTGTCTATTAAAATCAAATATTATTGAGTCTCTACGTTGAATGATATGAGCAGGAGATCCAGCTTCATCTTCAGAATTGTTCATATC